TTTTACCACAAGGATTCTATTATTTACTCCACCAGCCATTGCATGAGCTCAATTACAGCTAAACGTGGTCTATATTCTTTTAATTTAATACATTTTTCTGTTTCACATTAACCTAGACTGGGCTTTTTACACATCCTTACCAAGGGTGCCAATAAATCTGTTGTCGACTTTAAAATTTTACTCAACATATTATCTTATATTATGAAAAACAGATCCAAAAAAACAAATAAATTATGTATGCATAAAACCTAACATTCAGCAAATTGACGTTTTCACACATCACGTGTCATAATTGGCAAAGCCACTCATTTTGCTATGATGCATTTACTTTTAGTTTCCTAGGAACCGATCCTGCCTGCGGCGTCAAATCAGATGTTCTGTCTTGACGCTGAGAAGGCTTGAACTAAACATGGAGGCCAAAATGAGAGAGATTTTGATCTCATCTTTTTGATTATCTACCAAAGGGATGATTGTCCCAAAGCGTTGGGCAGAACTAAAGTAGAGATACAGTAAAAACAAAAGGTTATTGCCTTTTCAGAGTCTGATGAACTTTCAGTCTTGGGAAAAAAAATGTAAAAGATGCCAATGATAGAATAATATACAGAATAGTAAATACTGTTAAGATTTCATCCACAAACACTTAAAATGAATGAGAAAGGTTAGCTTATAAAAAACACCTCTTTAAAACCAATAAATGGTTGATCAAGTATCTTAAATATGGCAAGTTATCATAGCTGTGAGATAAGAGGACCATGCAGAAAAGCTGAGTATGGACCACACCGTATTGGTGCTCAAATACACCACCTTAGAACATAGTTCTAACTCGTTTTTTTGTACACATCTTTACAATGCTCTTGATTTTCATTTTTAAAAAACTTTTTTTTTTTCCTCCTATTCCAGCGGGGATGAGAATGAGGTAATCTCTAAACCTGGAAGACGTTGATCTTGCTGGTGTTTTTCAGCGTCTGTCGTCTGTTGCAGAACCACACCCGCACCACCTCTCTGTCATAATTGAGTTCTCTGGCGATCTCTGTGATCTCCTGGCCTGTGGGCAGGGAATTCTTTTCAAAGTAGGAGTTAAGAACCTCGATGGCCTGAGGCGTGAAACTAGTGCGCCGTTTGCGCTTTTTGGAAGGTTCGCCGCCGACAAACTCCATGAGGTTCTGTGGGCCCTTCAGGTTCCAGTGCTCAGCTTCAGCCAGCCACTTCTCCAACACTGGCTTTAGTTTCTGAGCACTCTTGGGGGTGATGTCGAGCTTTTCAAACCTGCAGCCAGAAGGAGAGTTTATGTCTTCATCAATCAACACCATATAATGAATGAGCTTTGAACCTAAATTTAAGTTTAAGTTTATTGCCGGATATGACTTTTCAGAAATTGGGGATCAATTTTACTAATAAAACATTTTTGCAGTCGTTGCACATGGAAGCACATTACTCAGATGTTAGCAGCGCTAGCAAAAAATATATATAATATTATAATGCACCCTAAACTCTGTTTGCATGAAAAAAATCCTGCTAATAATAACATCAGCAGTGCTTACTGTGGGGAATCTAAATACTGGATGCAGGAACACGTTGCTGGACGTAAATCTGGTTGATTTTGAACACTATGATTATTTAAACACGGCATTTTAGCAGCTAATGTGGTTTCCATTTTTTCTGGTATGTAGGATTGTCATTTGTGTGAAGCTCAAAGCTTCACACAAATGATTGATTTGGAGAAGACCAGCTCTAAGGAAAGCTCTAGACAGCAGCGGAGGGTCATTTATGCCAGATTAAAAATAAATTCCAAATGGATATCATATTTAGTGGTTTGAGAAATATACCTTCAACATACTCGAGCGCTGACACCAAAAATTACTATTTTGATTCATAAATAAACAGACTAATTTGAGCTAGAATTCTGACCCTCAAAGACCTGTTAGTCTTCCTTCAAAATGTCCACCTCCACTCCATTTATCGTCCTAAATTAGATGCACCTGTTTGAGGTCGTTAGCTGCATAAAGACACCTGTCAAGAGCTGTCCAAAAACACTAGAGACAAAAATGTACACCTCCACAATGCTTAAAAGGGCTATGGAGAAATTGCAGAGCAGCTTGGTGAAAAAAAGGTCCATTGTTGGAGCAATCATTACAAAATGGAAGAAGCTGAACATGACTGTCAATCTTCCTTTGACTGGGGCTCCATGCAAACCTCTCACCTCGTGGGGTCTCAATGATCCTAAGAAAGGTGAGAAATCAGCCCAGAACTACACAGGAGGAGCTGATCAATGACCTGAAAAGAGCTGTTTCCAAGGTTACTGTTGGTAATACACTAAGACTTCATGGTCATGCATGGCACGGAAGGTTCCCCTGCTTAAACTAGAACATTTCAAGGCCCGCCTTAAGTTTGCCAGTGACCATTTTGATGATCCAGAGGAATCATGGGAGAAAGTCATGTGGTCAGATGAGACATAATTCCACTAACCGTGTTTGGGGGATTAAGAATGATGAGTACCATCCCAAGAACACTATCTGTACTGTGAAGCATGGAGGTGGTAGCAACATGCTTTGGGGTGTTTTTCTGCACATGGGAAAGGACAGCTGCACTGTATTAAGGAGAGGATGACTGGGGCCATGTATTGTGAGATTTTGGGGAACAACCTCCTTCCCTCAGTTAGAGTATTGAAGTTGGGTGGAGGCTGGGTCTTCCAACATGGCAATGACCTGCAGCACACAGTCAGGATAACCACGGAATGGCTCTGGAAGAAGCATATCAAGGCTCTGGTCTCCAGACCTAAACCCAATAGAGAATCTTTGGATGGAGCTCAAACTGTGTCTCTCAGGGACTGCCCAGAAAGCTGACTGATCTAGAGAAGATCTGTGTGGAGGAGTGGGCCAAAATCACTCCTGCTGTGTGTGTAAACCTGGTGAAAAACTACAGAAAAACGTTTGACCTCAGTACTCGCAAATAAAGGCTACTGGACCAAGTAATAACATTGATTTACTCAGTTGTTCGAACACTTATTTGCAGCTGTATCATAAAAATAAATAATAAAAAAATTCATACATTGTGATTTTAGATTTTGTTCTTTTAAGATTGTGTCTCAAAATAGACATGCACCTACGATGACAATTTCAGACACCTCTATGATTTCTAAGTGCGCGAACATGCAAATAGCAGGGTGTTCAAATGCTTAGTTCTTCAATGTAATACTGGATGACTCCAATTTAAAAGTCCTTTGAAATATTTAGTCAAATAATTTAATGCCATAATGATTGTACAAAATATCAATACTAAAGATTAAAAATGAATTTAAAAGTTATAGCTGCCTCTACTTATTTTAAATAGGCATATATATATATATATATATTGTAATTCACCAAAGTTGTTTTTAGAACAATTATATGACAGATATATTAAACTTTAAGTTATTAATTCTTTCGGAAATCTTACTTGAGCTGAGGATTTCTGCCAGTGGGGTCAATGACTAAATCCAATCAGCTGGTTTTTGTCACAGTTCTGGTTCTGTTATGTTTTCTTTTGAGTGTTCAGTTTTATTTTGCTCCATGTTTTCTAGTTTTAGTGGTTAAATTCTTATTTTGTTGTGTTCTCTGGTTATTTTTCAGTTTTCAGGTTTTTATTTGTTGCCCTCTGCTGCCCTCTTGTGTTCTCCTTTTCCCTAGTTCCTTTCCTGTTTGCTCTGCTCACACCTGTTCCCAATCTGCTCGTTAGTCCTCTCTTTCTTTCAGTCTCCCATAAAATACACATCTTATGCAGTTCCTCGGTGCTGGTTCCTTGTCTAACTTCCTCCAACTCCGTCTCACTGATTCTTCCTCCTCATTATTGTTTCCCCCAGATGTCTCATTGGCTTCTGGTTTGTTTTTCTTTGTTTTCATGTTTGATTTTTGAAATTCTGCTCAGTGTTCTGTTAACCCTTCATTAAATCTGCAAGAAACTCACCTCTGCCTCTCTGTATTTGCATTTGGCTCCACAAACCTCCACCAAATATTGACAGTGTTTAGATTATTTACCATTCTGAATGCATGATCGGAATTGAATTATATTGAGGAGCCAAAATATACAATGAAATAATGTACCCTAAAATGAGCAGATGTAACTTTTTTTTTTTTTTTTTAGCTACAACATGATTAAAAGAATATTTATATCCTGTATAGCACTTCTGGATAGATGTAAACTACATTTTGTTGCTTTGTACTTGTGACAGTGTAATAAGAGTTTGATATCAATTGATAATTTTTGAGTAATTTTTTTGTCAGCACATTTAACTTTCTACAAAGATCTTATACATGTATATATTGTACATACCGTAGTGGGTATCTGAGGGCGTTTCTGCTCTGAATTTATTTGAGGAATCAAAATAAAAGTTGTTTATCACAATACCGTTCTGATTTTTATTGCAAAATTTTCTTTTCCTCTCACTTTCGAAAGAAAGGAATGATGGGAAAAAGAACAGTTACCTGCAAATGGCAGACTGGCTGTATGCTGGACCCTCCGTTGCAGTAAGAGCCTGCCCTACTTGTGTCTGAGTGAGGCCCAGTGACAGCCGGCGGATTTTAAAGTTCTTGGCAAACTCTCGGATTTCCTCCAAATTAATTCCTTCCTCGCTGCTGACTGCCTGCTGAGGCTCTGCAGATTAAAAGTCTGGTTAAAAAAATCTAGCTGCTTTGGAGAAAACCTCTGCAAGGAGAGGAAAAGCAGGTGTACATACTATTGACAAGCTGCCCCACTTTGGCCATGTCGCCAGAGGGGATGGGTGCTGCTGAAGAGAGTGTGGTCGAGGTCTTCAGTGCGGACGGCTGCGGTGCAATGACAACAGGCGACTGAGTTACACTTGTTACTGAAGCCTAGGAGAGTCCAAACAGCACCAGTTACAAATCCCAGATCATTTTACAATAAATAGAACCAGTAAATTGTTTGGATGTGTTGTTTTTGGGTGTAAATCATGATTGATGCTTCTACCTGTGTGTTTGGTCTGTTTATTGTAGGAGGGGCTGTAGTTTTAGGCAGGACTGCAGCAGAAGTAGCAACAGCAGCAGGTCCGTTTCCAACAGTTGCAATAATTTGGCCCTGGGTGTTGAGAAGCAGCTGTGGCGCGATGGTCTGCAACTGGAGACCCTGCAGGGGCAGAGTGGAGGCAGCGGCCCCTCCAGCCAGAGAGGCTGGGTTCACTAGCAGTGGGAGGGTTCCTATAACCTGCAAAATGTCCAAAGAAAACATCCTTTATACCTCATAATAATGACCTGCTATATCTAACTTAGGTGGGGACATTTTTCATGGAGATTTATCAAATATGACCAACAGGCATGAATGACATGGTGGGAAATATAATGGCCAACTATAGATACTCCAGTTCAGCCTTTTGGGGTACTGACATTGATGATGCAATAAAATTTGGTATTTGACCAATTAATTGTGGTGCAGAAAAATGTAATAAATCAGCATAATTACCTTAGAAAAGTCAAAAGTTCACAAAAACAAATACAACTCTTAATACAGCTTTTAGCTATAGATGATAAAACAAATGACAAAAAACAATCAGTGTCAAATAAAAGCAAGGAGGTTGGAAATATTGGCCATGGAATAAGAGACACTACTCATTGTTATGTTTCTCTAAATGCTGATGAAGATTCTGTCATCCAGAAAACAGTAAAAAAAAAAAAAAAATCCACAACACTGTGTTTCCAAGTTTGAAGACTTTTCACTTCCCATCCAAGAAGCTTTTTCAATTCAAAATTTCAGAAATTGCGCTGAGCTTGAGGCTTTATAGAGCATACCAAACAAAAACTTGTTTCGGATTAGAAAACATGCAAACCGAACCGGAAGAAAAGGTCCACCCCCTAGGAATGGGAAGTCACTTTTTTGTTCTTTTTTAGCCTGCAATACCCAATACCTATGACCTATTTTCAATTTTTTCTAAATGTGAAAAGCAGTTGAAGACTTAATAATTAAGGCTAATATCAAGTATCAACAAGGCATTCATGTTTTTAAATACACTGTGCATTATGTAACCTTTAAAAGTAATGATCCAGTTTAGAATGGGTGAATATAAGGAGGGCGAAAGGTGCACATGATTAATGCACTGAACCGAACTGAATCTTATATCACAGTGTAAATAGAGCCTACCTGGCCCTGGGCATTTGTGATGATCTGGCTGGTGATGCCAGCCATACTGGGCACTGTGCTGTTGATGATGGGGGTTGATGTGAGAGAACTGAAGAACTGAGGCTGTGCCCCCAAAGACGCAGCACTGATCTAAGAGGGTAAAATAAAAGTCAAAGGTTAGGACGACAGGAGAACATGGAAGCTTGGAAACGTGAGCAGAGGAAGACTCTTGGAGGCTTACAATTGCCGGGTTGATGGACAGTCCTGCTGTCTGAAGTGCTGCCACAGATATACTGGGTTGAGAGATGGTGTTGGCAACAGAGGTCGCCTGGACAGGCATCGACTGAGCAGAAGTGACCTGTGTATTGTTGACCCGTGTTTGCTGAGGCGACACCTGCTGCACGGCCGCCTGCACCGCCTGGATAGATGCTGCCTGAGGTTGGAACAGCTGTGTATTGGCTTGCAGCTGGGGCTGGACCGAGTTCAAAACTGTTGCAGCTAAAAAAAAATGTAACCATTAGATAATGCTTTGGTGGAAGGAAATAAATCTCCTAAAAGACCTAATGTAGACATTTATCTGGATGATAGAGGGAAAACAAACTGGCAAACACATATTTTACCTTGTAGCCCAGCAAAAGGTAGTTTGAGGAGGTTTCCTGCTGGGTTAGCTCCTGTGAAGCCAGGGAGAGTGGCAACATTGGTGGTTGGCAGAGTGAGAACAGCCAAGCCGCCTTGGCTGGCGATGGACCCGGCCATGTTGAGGGGGATAAGCAGAGGCTGACCCAGTGACCCCGTCTGAGCCATCATGCCAGTCATCAGAGCTGCCAGACTCTCCTGTGTCAGAACCTGGGGTTAAAGAAAACAGAGGGGCAGAAAGCTCAATTACCTTTGGGTGTAACATAATGACTTTGACTGGTGCAAAACCTCTTTGTTTACTGATTTGTTTAAAATGGGAACTATCGTTAATGCAAATAGTAACGTCTATGTTATATTTTAATACAACTTTGATTTAGTTTCTCATGTTCATTCCATTTTTATTCCACGGTGTTTAATATAATGCAGACTTTACAGCAAGAACAGCTCTAATACTAGTTACCGGTTTATGAGAAACATTGACCAAACTTCCAGAGGAAAATCTCAAAAGTTAAACTTTGATTTTGGGTTAGGACTTGCATTCTATGGCGCTAACTCATCCTAAAGGTGTGTTTACACTGAATGTGGATGTGAGAAATTTCGCACATGGTGTCGGTGGCATGATATTCCACCTCTCTCTCTCTCACAAAAACTAGCCAAGAGGACTCTGCAGACACTGCCCAGCCAAGCTTGCTTCACTGCATCATCAAATGAGAAGAGGTGGTTCCTGCTGCATTGAATGTGAAAATGAGAGCCAAACACTGTCCACAAAATCCACTCCTAGCTCAGCCATTACCACTACCTGCTCCCGGAGCAGCAGCTGGAGGACTGACTCCAGCAACGGTTTGTTTGCCTCGGATCTAGAAGTTCTAGGGAGATTTTAACTGAAAGAAATTCTTGTTTCGGCTGAACTTCTTCACCACACATCCAGTCCCTGATATTGGTTAACGTGGCACAAATTGAGAGAGAAATCCAGATTTTTTTACCTGTTGGAAAATTCTCACAGCAATCCATAAAAATAATCCCATTTGTAGTTGACACAATGCAGTCAACCAAGTTCTTCACAAGCCTGCCAACTATCAAACGTCATTTAATAAAATATTACTTTCCTCTCATCTTTGCGTTGTTAAATGTTGGTTTTGAAAGCATTACAGTTACCCTAAATCAATTTAAGTCAATCTAAGCTCATTCCAAACTTCATTCCAAACATTCAAGGTAAATTTAGGTTCTAAAAAATAAAATCCATGCTAAATGTGATATCAATGCATCATTTTATTGATCTTTTTATTGTTTTTCACCCATTTTCATTTATTTTCTTATTTGCACTTATTAGCTAATTAGTTTGAGTTCAGTTTGTTTAGTCAAGAGTTTGTTTTTCTTTTATTGAAATGCTGGACTAGGAGTTGAATATTTTTCTAGATAAAGTTGAATATTTCATATGTAAATTTTGGTGAATTTATTACATATGTGTGAAGAGTTAACAGTTTGACTGTGATATGTGCTATAATCACACTTTTATTTGTTGCTGAAGCACACAACTGGTTGGTTGGTTGTGTGCATGTTCACAGATCATGAGAGTCCAAAAGTTATTTGATTAAATAAGAACATCACAACCTCATTTAATTGCATAACACCTTTAAATTTAAAACGGATGATATTTTGAAACAGTAAAGTCTCTAGATCATGGGGATGTGATATATTTAAAAAAACTGAGGATTTTTCTCTGTCTACAGCTGTTATGTGACCTTTGTGACTGAAAGTCCTTCCTATGATTTCAAAGGCAGAAACCTTGCATAAATAAAAAATGAAATTTTCCACACTCTAAAAACTGTAAAAATAAGTCAAAATTTCTTAAAATAGGTGTATTGAATTAGCATTTTGGACATTAAATACCATCAGATATTAAGCACTTTTATTTTATTTTAAACGTAAACCATCTTATTCCACTGGTAAACGGTTTAACCTATCTGTTCAAATCAAAGAAAATACAATACACTAATTTCAAGAGAAATTGACAGTTTTATTTCAGCTTCTGCAGTGCAGGTCTCTGTTGTCACAATTAGTACCTGTGGACATCCTTGTACTGTAACAGGCATGGCGGCCTGCGGCTGGGCTAGGGACACGCCGAGGGAAACAGCAGGATTCACCGTTTGGACAACAGGGGCCGAGGAATCACCGGACGCCACATGCTGCTCAGCAATCACTGCACGATAGCAGCCAGCAGATGTTTGAATTGTCATTAACATTTCACCACAACATGTTTCTTTCAAGTTTGAGAAATGACTTGGCTGTTATCCGTCACCCAATGGTGTTACCGTGATTTACCTGCTTCCCCGCTGCAGTGGGACACCGTGGGGCTTCTCTGGGTGCTGGTGGCCTCAGCTGTCTCTGCACACTGAGCCATAGCCTCCTCAGATTTAGCCTCACTCCCCCCATCAGGTGCAGATGGTGGGGGAGCTGCGTCAACCTCGACTTCTAGAACACGAATAGTCTCATGACCAGACATGACGATAACCTGCAGTGTTCAGGAGCAGAAAAGGGGCTGATCAGGTTGGTACAAGGACAACCAAATAGTTTTGAGCATTTGTAAAACACAATGAATCACTTTAATTAGCAAACTTATTAAATGTAAAGAAATCATACACAGATTCTTGCAAAAATATTTATACATCTTAAACATCATTTAGGTTTTTTACCAACTAGGTCGGTGCTCTCTAGAATCAGCATTCATTTTGCTAGTTCCACTCTTGTCTTAGATTTTCTATACAATTTAGATCTGGACTTTGACTAGGCCATTCTTGCACAGGAGTATATTTTGATCAGGTGCACTTCTAGGTGCACACTCAAGGTCTTCTTAATAAAATGATGCTTTGTTTGCAACATCTCACATGTTTTCTGATTGTTCTGTTTGTTTTCACCCACACTCACATCAAATGACCAATTTATCTGTTCCTAGAGGAGAAAAGCTCCCTGTAGCAATGTGAGGAATGTGAGGATGAGGTTTCCAAAAATAGAAGCATTGTTAGTTTTCAATCAACTAATGGTTTTTCTCCCATTTGCCTGACCTGTTAACTTAACATTTCTTGTTTGGTTTACAGTTGTGACATATACCTAAAACTTTAAAAGGGGCTTAGCCACATACTATGACTTTATGAATTTCAACACCAGCAGCTCTCTCTGGTTCCATATAAAGGCTTTTCGATAAAGTTATCGCACCCCAGTGGCTTATAATGGTTTCTTTTTTGTTCTTCATATTAATAAACAAAGCGCTTTTGTTTAAATTTACGATAACAAGATCATGCGACCTGATTTATGATATTGCACATGCACAAAGTGAGTAAATAAAAAAAGCAATTTGTTTGTGTGAGTTAGTAGGACTCAAGGGAGGGGGGAAAAAATAAAAACAGGGAAAGTAAAAGACCAAGTATGAAAATGTAAAGAAACACTGGATGCCAGGAGGGATAACTCATGAGTGGGGCTTTCATTACAACAACAACGCAGATGTCGACTGTAGCTGCAGAACCTAAGTTGAAGGATGCGAGACTGAGTACTGCCAGCAGATGGCGATGCTGTAAAACAATGTTTGTTTGCGGATGCCTCTGTATGGAGTGAATTGTGTTCCATTAATATTGAATGGAAAGAATGTGTTTTGTAAGTGGAAATTTTCACATTTCATTTTTAAGAAAAAATTTTTAAGATTTTATATTTTAAAATATATATATTTTTTATTCTATTTCAATGTTTTTTTTTCAGATTTTTTATTTTTGAAAATAAAAGTCAAATACCCGTTTTTTCAGATTGCATTTTTTTTTTTCAAATTGCTTTTTAAAGATCACGTTCTCTTCACATCAGGTCCAATACAAAAACTGAAATTGTATTGGTCACACATGGAGCAATACAATGTTGCTGCAGAACAATAGAAATGTGTCTTTAATCCTTACTCCACATGAAAGCCCACCCCCAGAATCGAAGAAAATATGATCTGGAAAACTCAATTTGAAAGAATGCAAGTTAAAATTAAGTTTCAGATTGAGTTAAAAACTCAATATGAAAAACAGATATAAAAGAAAACTTAAAATCGAATAAAAAATTGAAGAAAAAAATATGAAAATACTTTTAAAAAAGAAAAAAAAAAAACATCTGAGAAAACAGCAAAGTTATTCCCCAAGCCTTTCTTTGGATCAAAACATTTCTTTAAGTTTTATTTCTGGATTGCATAATTTTCAAATTTCAATTTATTTAATTTAAATTTATAAAGTGTGATTTTCAAATTTCCAGTTGCAAAACATGTCATTTGATTCCAACAATAATTAAAAAAAATTTACTCCATAAGTCTGCTGTACTAAAAGAAAATCAAATATAATTCCCAATAAGGACTAAGTAAACACTATCAGGGTGAAAGCTTGCCTTATATTCTTTTATATTCTTATATTCTTTTAATTTGTGGGGGCGGTTTTGTAGGCATGGTCCGTCACTGGGCCCCTTTAATTTGATCAAAACCGATGTGTCCCTTGGCCACTGTGATGCTCTTTGTTCACTAATTTTACATTAAAAAAAATCTCTGGTGACTATTTCAGAACAGCTGTATTTTCACAGAATTCAGATTTAATACAAATAGAGGGTTACATTTTTTTCAAATAAAACATGCATTTTTTGTTCCACTTTTTTATTGATTTCCACTTTTTGTTGGTGTATCAAATAAAATCTCAATAACACACATTTAAGTTTGCACCTGGAACTAAATATTAGAAAAGGGGAAGTAGTATGAATACTTTTGCAAGACAGTGTAAGTGTGCCAACATCCATTATTCACCTCTACCTGCATCATCTAAACCCAGTGCTGATTTATAGCTGATGATTCATGGAGTGAAATAATAAAAGCAGAGGCAGCAAGGCGGTTGGAAGACAGGATGCAGGATGTACAATGCAGGGAGAGAGGGTAAGGCATACCTGGTTGTCCCTGGCAGGGGAATTTCAAAGTGCAGGATTTAAATGGCTGAAAAAAGACTTCTGCTGTCAGACAGTGAATGGCTAAGGAGGACAGAGAAGCCGAGCACATGTTAGGACAAGATGACCCAAAACAAAAACAAAACAGACTTAAAAGGGCGTATGATTGCGCTGATATGATGAAGAGAACATCAGCCAACAAGAAGCTCAAGCAATACAGTCCTTAAGCTCAGCCCTACGCATCTGCTAACAGCATTGCTTTGGCTTGATGGCTATGTCTACGCAGAGCAATATTGGTGAGGAAATGTACAACAAATTAATGACAAGCCTGACTGTTAGCAGTTAAGCAGTTATTATTATGCATTAACATGCAGAAACGGCTCAATGAACAGCTGCAGAGAAGATAGATGTGACTTTATTATCATAGGGCAAAGTATAGCATTACGGGGTTACATGAGCCAATAAATAAATAAATTATTTAATATTAATAATTATAAAATATTTATTCAATATTTTCTCATTACAACCACAGACTTGGACATATTTTATTGGGATTTTATGTGGGAGCAACTTACATAGAAAACTGTCATCTTTGTCCACAAATTAAAAAAGAGGAGTGTCATGTCTTGTTTTCTAATTCTGCCCCTTTATCATTCTGTTAAACCAGTTTCTGCACAAAACCCAGTTTGCAGTTTGCCTCAAGCAATATAGTTTACAGAGAAAGTGTGCTCAGAGCAGATGAGGCTTAAGTTAACGTTCTGGCCAGTATGCAAAACACTATTTGCATGCAATACTCCACAGACTAACTCTACAGTGAAACTTCTTGGTGTTAGTTTCATGCTGTGGGAGAATTTTTCTCAGAAAGAACTCTGAAGCCAGTTAGATTTGATGGGAATAAGGATGGAGCTACTTATAGGGAGAAACTGGAAGAAAAAAAAAACCCTTAGTGGCGCATTAGATTTGAGACTAAGGGGGAAGTTTTGCCTGAGGAGACTGGAGAGGATGTTCACCCTTCAGTAGGACAAAGAGTCTAAACATGCAGCCAAGATAACATGGACTGCTTTAGATAGGGCTACACAATATCATGGAAAGTTTGCTTCAATATAATGACACTTGCTCAGCCTTTCTCATAATTACAATTAGCCCAGAATTTTTAAAAGAGATTTGAGAGACTAAAAATGTACATAACATGTGTCTAAAGGGCAGTTACACACCATGTCACAGGCCCAGTAACACATATAACCTGCATAAAGGGTGGAAGTATGATATCTGAATTTTAAATTCAAGAAGTATTTTTTCCGATTAAGATATTGCAAAGACTAATAATGTGATATTGTAAAAACCCTGATTTGGATGAAAGAACAAATACTTTTTGGAATGCATTTTTCTCATGTTAAATTAGCTTAAC